ATGGGAAGTGGCAGTTATAGAATGGGGCTGCCTGTTACTAGGGGTCCAGGTTCTGTTGGGCTCCATTGTCAAGAAGTGAGGTCATCCCTGGGTCCCCTACCCCAGGCATCTCCTCAGGAAGAGCAGTGACCTCACTTCCTGACAAGATCAGTGACCTCACTACACTGAGCAGTAACCACACTACACCAAGAAGTACCATGGCCTCCAGAGTCCTTGGGGATCATTTGTGGGAGAAAGCCAGACCCCAAGCCTCATGTTGGGCTGAAATAAATTGAAATACATAGTGCACACACTTAGCTAGACAGGGACACTAAAACTAACTTTTTTTTGTTTTAAAGAGGGGCTGAGTAGGGGGAAACAAATGGAGATTTTTTAAAAATATATTTTATTGATTTTTTTTTACAGAGAGGAAGGGAGAGGGATAGAGAGTTAGAAACACCGATGAGAGAGAAACATTGATCAGCTGCCTCCTGCACACTCCCTACTGGGGATGTGCCCGCAACCACCGGAATCGAACCTGGGACCCTTCAGTCCGCAGGCTGATGCTCTATCCACTGAGCCAAACCGGTTAGGGCCTAAAACTAACTTTTAAATTGAATTTATTTATTTGTTGCAGTGACACTGGTTAATAAAATTGTATATGTTTCTTTAGTACAGTGATGGCGAACCTTTTGAGCTCGGCATGACAGCATTTTGAAAAACCCTAACTTAACTCTGGTGCCGTGTCACATATGGAAATTTTTTGATATTTGCAACCATAGTAAAACAAAGAGTTATATTTTTGATATTTATTTTATATATTTAAATGCCATTTAACAAAGAAAAATCAACCAAAAAAAAAATGAGTTCACGTGTCACCTCTGACACGCGTGTCATAGGTTCGCAATCACTGCTTTAGTACAATTTTATAACACATCATCTGTATATTGTATTGTGTGTTTACCACCCCAAGTCGTCTCCTTCCATCACCAGTTATCTGCCCTTTCCCCTCTTCTACCTCCCCCAGCACCCTTTCCCTCTGATAATGACCATAATGGAATATTACTTGTTTGTAAAAAAGAGGAAATCTTACCCTTTTCCATAGCATGGATGGACCAGTAGAGTATTATGCTAAGTGAAAGAAGCCAGTCAGAGAAAGACAAGTACCATGTGATTTCACTTATATCTGGAATCTAATGAACAAAATGAACTAACAAACAAAATAGAAACAGACTCATAGATGCCAAGAACAGACTGACAGCTGTCAGAGGGGAGGGGGCTTGGGGGCTTGGTGAAAAAAATGAAGGAATTAAGTGAGAAAAACCTGAGACACAGATATCAGTGCCAGAGAGAAAGTGGAGTTGGGGGAGGTAGAAGAGAGTAAAGGGGGAATAGATCGTGATGGAAGGAGACTTGACTTTGGGTGGTGAAAACACAATACAATATACAGATGATGTGTTATAGAATTGTAAAAAAATATTAATTCTAAAAGATAGGATATATAGAAATCAATGAATAAAAGTTAAAATACTTTTTCAGGTTCTTGAATCCACAAACTTACTCCTTGAGGGAAGTTACTAACTTGTATTCATTGTTGTATCTGTACGGTCTTCTACATTGTGTGTAATAATAAAATGAGTTGAGTGACCAAATAAATTTTAACAAGAGCATGTAGAACATAATTTATTATGGCTCTGGATAATAATATGAATGTAATTATTGTCCTATGTCTTTCCTGTCTTAATAAGCGGCACCAGCATTCATCCAAATCTAAAGGTAGAAAGCTGTGCAAGAAATTACCATAAAATTTAGTGGCTTAAAACAATAAATATTTATTATTTTTTACAGTTTTTGAGAGACAGAAGGTGGGTTGTTCTGGCTTGGGGACTCTAATGAGGTCACAGTCATGTATTGGTGGGGGCTTTGTCATGTGAAGGCTTGACTGGGAGCTGGAGGATACACTGCAAGATGGCTCACCTCCACGCTGGCAAGTTGGTGCTGGCTATTGGTAGGAGGTCTCAGTTCCTGTCCATTCAGGTGCCTACACAGAGCTTCTTGTGTGGTGTCTTCATGACATGCTGACTGGTATCTTCCAGAGGGAACAATCCAAGAGAGCAAGGCAGAAGAGGCATTTACAGCCTCCCCTTGGAAGTCACACACTCTCCCTCTTCAATGTTCTAATCACCCAGATCTGCCTCATTCATTGTGGGAGGGGACTGCCCAGAGGCATGAATGCCAGAAGAAGGGATCATTGGGAGCTATCTTGGAAGTTGGTTACAAGAGCTCCTCTCTTTCATATTTCATTCCACAAACGTCTTCTATTCATTCTCCTTCCAAAAATATATCTCAGATATAATCACTTATCTTCATCTCTATTGTCTCTAGCCCAATCCAAGACATTATTCACAATCAGCTCTGCTATAATAGCCTTTCATCTGATCTTTCTCCTTCTGCTCTTGTTACTCTCCAATGCATTTTCCATATAGCAGCCATTCATTTATCATTCATTGATTTTTTTTCAATTCATTCAACATATTTATCTTGTACTTACATGCTAGTTTGTTTCAGAATTTTAAAATATATGGCAGTGACTAAACAAAGTCCTTAGAACTTATATATAGTGGGAAAATAAATAATTTGGAAGATATTAGATGGTAATATGTGTAATACAGAAGAATAAAGCAGGGTAAAGTAAACAGAGACCTGTAGGGGAATTAAGGACTAATGGGTGCTGTATTATATACAGCTGTCAATAGTGCTATCTCTGATTATATTGGACAGAAGTGAGGAGGCATATGAATACCTGGGTAAGAGTGCTCTAAGCGGAGGAAAAGAAGGCAAAGGCCCTTCTTGGTGTGTTTGGGGAACAGTAAAGCAGCCACTGTGGCTGAAGCAGGGAGTGGGAGGGAAATGGCAGGCCATGGGGACCAGATCATGTAGGGCCTTCGAATCTATGATGAAGACTTTGGCTTTACCTTGGGTTGGTGGGGAACAAGAAAAGTCATGGGAATGTTTTGCTGACAAGATACAACTTGCTTTTTAACAAGATCATCTGAATTGCTCAGTCCATGATCTTTTAAAATGTAAATGGTATCAGATCACTTCCATTGCTTAATACCCTTTGATGGATTCCCATTGTACTTAGAATAAAATCCAAGCTCCCTTAGCTATTATTACTATTGTTGTTATTAAAATTGACACTCCATTATTTTCTGTCATAGAATTCTGCTGTCTTCCTTCCTATTAATTATCCAGTAATTGTTATTATTATTACTATTATTATTACATTTATCCTATATAATAAAGAGGTAATATGCAAATTGACCATCACACCCTTGCACAAGATGGCCGGCAGGGGAGGGCAGTTAGGGGCGACCAGGCGAGCAGGAGAGGGCAGTTGGGGCGACTGAGCCGGCAGGGAAGGGCAGTTGGGGGCGACCGGGCCAGCAGGAGAGGGCAGTTGGGGGCGATTGGGCTGGCAGGGGAGCAGTTAGGCATCGATCAGGCTGTCAGGGGAGTGGTTAGGGGGCAATTAGGCTGGCAGGCAGAAGTGGTTAGGGGCAATCAGCAGGCAGGCAGGCGAGCGGTTGGGAGCCAGCAGTCGGACATCCCCTGAGGGGTTCCAAATTGGAGAGGGTGCAGGCTGGGTTGAGGGACAACTTCCCCAATGCACGAATTTCGTGCACTGGGCCCCTAGTTTGTTTATAAGCTGCTTCATCCACTCAAAAATATACTATGGAGATGTTGTGGTATGTGGGTCTTTTCCATACTAAGTCATCCCAAGAGTGCTTTGTTTTTGGAGTTCTTGTGTTTGCTCTCTATAAGGTATATTTTTTCTGTATCTTCCTTCATTGTCATATTTGGTCAATGACCTACCTCTAGCCATGCTATTTTGGATGCCAGGCTAACTGCTGTTGAGCTGGATGCTAAAGCTTGCCTTGGTTTGTGGGCTACATCAATACTTCTCAAACTTTAATGAACAAATGAATTATCTGGAAGGAGGAAAGGGGATCTTGTTAAGATACTGATACTTATTCAGTAGGTCTTGGGTGGGCCTTGAAATTCTGCATTTCTACCAAGCTCATAGGTGATGCTCATGCTGCTGGTGCTATGAGTGATGAGGTGGTTTGATCACCGAGCTTGTTTGAGCATTGGAATCACCCCAAAAACTACAAATTCCTGGATACCTCCCTCCTTCCTGAAGGTTCCAATATAATTAGACTGGGATGCAGTATGGTGAATTAGAGTATGGTGAATTTTCTAGGCTTCATTAGTGATTCTAATTTGTAGCAAAATTTGAGAGCTGCTGGATTGGATGACATTGGGTCCTATTTTAAAACAAAGCATACCAAGTAATACTCTGCAGAGCTGTATTCTTTTTTAAAAGTTAGTTTTATAGCTATAGAAAAAGTCTGGCCACACTAATGGATGACTTAAAGATCTCTGCCTAGCACACGATTGGGTAGTGTCCCCAACGTCCTCAGCACATGCTGCCACAAGGTCTAGACTTCCTGCCTTCAGAAGAGGGTTGTTCCAAGTCCAGTTAAAATATGCCCACTGACAACAAGACTATATAAATCAGGTCCCCTCCTGTGTGAACTTATGCTGAGGCAGAGAATGGGATGAAGCATAGAAATGCTCCATTTCTTTTTTTCTTGTAATTTCTAGCATGTTAATGTACAGCTTTGGAGCCAGCAACTAAGAACTTCTTGTGTGGTTCAAACTAACCCTTTGGTCATCAAAAGCAGATATTTCAAACTACTGAAGATCAATGAGACAGTTCCAATTTACAGATTAATAATTGACTGCTAGATATGGGTATCTCAGATGGTCTTGGAGACATTGGGCAGAAGAGACAATGCCCAAGCTCTGTCTTCTTTCCCTCTCCCCTCACACCTGCCCACTCAGTTCCTTTGGCCAGGTGATTTACTGCGTGTTAGTAGAGCCTGGGGCACTTTCCTGTTGAAATGTACTTCAATCCCATGTATTAGGATTGATTTTTTTTTTCCTGGCTGGTCTAGATTGGACGACTGATTATTGGACAGAATGGCATCTTGTCGACACCTGCTGTTTCCTGCATTATCAGAAAGATCAAAGCAGCTGGTGGAATTATCCTGACAGCCAGCCACTGCCCTGGAGGACCTGGGGGAGAGTTTGGAGTGAAGTTTAATGTTGCCAATGGAGGTATGTGGTTCAGAATATGCCTTAATCATCATGATCTCTTTCCTCCTTTATGTTACCACAGTCTTACAAAGACCTCCTGATGGTTGACAAACAGGGCAGAGAGGAAGTAGCTCAGAAAAATCTAGTGAGGTACTTGTATTAGTCAGGGTCCTCCAGAGAAACAGAACCAATGGAATATAAAGGAATTGGCTCAAGTGATTATGGGGAAAGAAGCAACTTTGAGGGGTGCGAATGGAAGTTTTGGGAATAGTTGCCTATGTCTGTTCAAAAAGAAGTAAGAAGAAAGGTTGCCTGCTAAGATCACGAGGCAAGAATAGAGACGGGTTTTGGGATAAATCAGTGGTTCTCAACCTTCCTAATGCCGCGACCCTTTAATACAGTTCCTCATGTTGTGGTGACCCCCAACCATAAAATTATTTTCGTTGCTACGTCATAACTGTAATGTTGCTACTGTTATGAATCGTAATGTAAATATCTGATATGCAGGATGTATTTTCATTGTTACAAATTGAACATAATTAAAGCATAGTGATTAATCACAAAAACAATATGTAATTATATATGTGTTTTCCGATGGTCTTAGGCGACCCCTGTGAAAGGGTCATTCGACCCCCAAAGGGGTCGTGACCCACAGGTTGAGAACTGCTGGGATAAATGGAGATGTTTTCTAAAAGGTACTCTGGGAAATTTGTTGAAGATTCCTGAGAAGTGAGGACCAGGGTGAAGTTAAACCCGCATTCTTAGGATAAGGCAGTCTGTTTAACTCCATGACTACCTTCAGCAATGTATGGGAGTGTCAGCAGTGGGAGCAGGTAAGTGTTTGGGGAATGATCAGGTGGGTGGGCACGGCAGAGCATCAAGAGGGCTGGCGGTGGTTAATAGTGTCTGAGCTGACATCAGACAACTAAGATTCAAATCCAGCCTCTGTCAATTACTAGGTATGTGCCAAATTCTATATAAAGTGTGAGATGTGGTATATGTAAATTTCAATAAATGTTGGCTTGTGTTAATGGGCTAACAAAGGCATAGCTCAAATGGTGGATCATAGGATCCTGCCTGGAATAAGACACCAATGAAACTAGAATGGACTGATGGCCTGGGATTAATTAAGTGATGAAGAGCAGGCTCAGCAGAGGTACACAGTAAGGTAGAAGGAAGATAAGGAATTTGTGGGGTAAGGATACTCATGTTTGATATTTTTGAAGGAAGGATTTCAAGAGACATTATTAAGTTATGACTGTACCAGGCATCAACTAAAATGAAGAAAAAAATAATTGGAGTAGAAGATGTCAAGGAACTTGGAAGTTGTCAAGGAACACAGGTGGCTGATGAGCTCTGAGGTTATCTATGTGGGTGACTGGTTGAAAATTATCATCTCATGCAGTAGAACTTGTTTTACTTTAAAAAAAATCAGTGTACTTTGGCATTAAAACTCAAATAGAGACTTAAAAACTGATAGAGACAGCACTCTAACATGTTGTAGTGTCCAGAAGATGGGGATATTTATGCATTCTTTAATCTGGTGAGCATTAGTTTTGCATAAAAAATGCAAAAACCAAATAAGATTATTTACTTTTTATGTTTTGTAAAAGGGTGAAGTTGATAAGGAATACGTTTATTACTTTGTGGTCCTTATTTTTTCTATATGACAAAAAAAAAATGTCAGTACAGTTTAGTAGGCTCTATTCTTTCCCACCTACTAGAATGGTGCTATTGCTATTCCTTCCCTACCCCCAGTTTTATTGAGCTGTAATTGATATACACAAAACTTGCACATACTTAATGCATACAATTTAATGAGTTTAGGGACTATTCCTTTTCATATGTTCAATGAGCATTTATTGGGAGGCAGTAACAGTGTTATGCCCTAAAGTAGTACTGTCAAATAGAAACAGGTTGTGAGTTAAATATGTATTTTAAATTTTTCTGATAGCCACATAAACAAAGTAAAAAAACAATAGGTGAAATGAGTAATATATTTTATTTAACCTAATATATCAAAAATATTATTTCAACATGTTACTATAAAATTATTAATACAATGTATTATAGTTTTCTACTAACTCTTCAAAATTTTGTGTGTATTTTATAATCATAGAACATCTCAAATTGACTATCATATTTCAAGTGCTCAGTAGCCACATGTGGCTAGTGGCTATTGTATCCGACAGTGCAGCTCTAGGATTGGGATATAAAAGAAGTCAATAAGTAATTTGTGTTCAGTAGAAAGTTAAAATATAGTTGGTGAATGAAATTAATACACAAAGCTATCTTAACATCTCTCTCTCTCCCTCTCTATCTACCATCTATTTCTCTATAATTTATATTTTAGATCTTTCAATCTACTTATTTATTTGATTCTCAGACTTGTTGCAAAAAAATGTAAAGTGGCTTGTGTTAAGTCATAAAAGTTAAAAAGACAAGAAAAACTAAAGGAGGACAACTATTGTTTTTATGTTCAATTAATTTAAAGTGGTATTACAACTAATGTATGGGGTATTTTGAGTTAAATTCATTTAAAAACGTAGGAGTCACTAGAGAGTATGAGTTGGGGAAAATAATTTACCCTGGTAAATTCACACATCCACGAGGCAGCAGACCTGGGAGTAGAAATCATATGTTTTCCCCTCAAAGTGCACTTGGGAAGCTGCAGTTTAATTCTGGAATCCCTCACTTCTGTCAAATGCATATCCTATTTGTGTCTCATATCCTGAATAAAGCTGATTACATAACCGGGCCTCCCTGGCAGGTGTGAAACTATTTTTAGGGAAGATGTATCATAGCTTAGAAGTAGATTCAAACAAACAAACATGTAGGTTATGTACCTCCATTGAACAGGTGAGGCTGACTGAATTTCTTCCACAGTGGATGTATACAACACAAGAAATAATTGAACTGTGGACTGTTGTCTATTGTTTAGAGAACAAATGAATCTTTCTCCTGGTTGGTAGAGGAGGAGGTAATATTTCTCTAATGAAAAATTTAAATAAATTTATGTTTGGTGATGCATTATTTTCAAATTTTAGGTCCTGCACCAGATGTTGTTTCAGACAAAATCTATCAGATCAGCAAAACAATTGAGGAATATGCTATATGTCCTGATCTTCGAATTGACCTGTCTCGACTAGGAAGACAAGAATTTGACCTGGAGAACAAATTCAAACCATTTAGAGGTAATAGAGAGATTATGTTCTGAAGAAGTCAGAATAACTCCGTGGGTGGGTTGACTGGTTTCTGCAGGGCAGTGTACATGGGAAAGTGATTGAAGTATCAATCTTTGGAGTGACGCTTGATAAATAGATATAATCTGAGTGTAGTGTAGAGGAAAATGAGAACAGCCAAGATATTCAGAACTGGCAACTTTCAAAAACCACTTTCCAAATTCTCCATCATTTTCCACATAGGGAAAGTTTCAGGGCTGACACTTTTTCATTGTTCCAAGAATAGGATGTGAATTGTGGAAAGTTGTCTTTGCTTTTCTAGCACTTAAGGTGGAGATGCCCAAATACCTTAGATAATAAATGGGAGACCCAGCATGGTAGTGAGGCTATAATTTCACATGAAGATAGAACCATGCAGTTCATCTTGATTCAATGTACAATTACTGATTATCTGCTCTCTACCAACTCTGTGTTAGGAAATTTTACAAATTCAATAAGTACCTAATGGATTTAGGCAAGTGGTTCAAAAATTAGAGAACCAGAATGATATTGTCAAAAATATTATCCTATATCGTTACATGAATAAAACTTCTGACGTACTCAGATTACAACCTTTTATTTTATACTAGAGGCCTGGTGCACAAAAATTTGTGCACTCAGGGGTAGGGGGTCCCTCAGCCCGGCCTGTGCCCTTTCGCAGTCTGGGACCCCTCGGGGGTGACCACTTGCTGGCTTAGG